ATTGAACAGACTAATAGTGGTAGGTTTTCCCCAAGGACCCACAACCTATCTAGCCACAGTTTCTTGGGCTCATTGACAGTGTCAACTGGTATGGGTTCCATCTCATGGGGCAGGACTTTAATCAAAAAGAGAAGATTGTGGTTCTGTATCAAGGGCATAAAAGTAACTGTAATAACAGCACAGTTAATCTTAGTCTGTGTGAGAGGATAAAGGAAAATCTTTAAGGAAGATTAAGGAAGTAGAAATTCGAGCATCAATGCTAACCAATATGTAAATGATTGACTATATAAATCAATAAACATTATACATTCTAAAGCCAAAAGCATGTTTAATAATTTTCTAAGTAAAATTTGCTTTAAAATAAATTTTTACTTAAAGGCTCTTTCAATTAGGGAAATACTTCTGTTTTAATTGTACAACTCAATGGTTTTAGTGCATTTATGAATGAATGTTGTGGACCTCTTTATATTTTTGGAAGTATTTGCTATTGTCTGACCTTTTATCATAATTATGCTAGTGAGAAAAAAGAATAGTTGGGTGTAGCTAGTATAGTAGAGAGGTTGATTGAGAAATACTTCAGATTTCCTGGGTAGAGAGTAGCACCCTACACGATAAGGAGACGGGGAGCCTAGGTTCCAGGAAGTATGAAACAGGACGAGACTTAGAGATATGTAAGTACTAGTGAGTAGACCGAGGCAGTAGGAGTAGCTCAGGACGCAGAAGAAAAAGCCAGGAGAGTGAGCTTGGAATCTAGAATGTGTTAGAAGACGCCACTTTGTCTGGGATTCCTGAAACCATGTTTGCATTGCCAAGCACCTCCAATGACGTTAACTTATGAATAAATCGAATTGTTCATTTTTCTCCACTTTGAGCCTAACAGATGTATATTAGACTGGTAAGTCCTTAGAGAATGTAGACAGTCTGGCATTAAACACAGCACCAGGTACAGGGAGCTGGACTTCTGAAACAAGCTGGCTTGCCTGCGCTCAGCTGGAGCCTGTGATCGACAGGTGGGGACAGGATTTTTAAGGTTAATCTTTAAACAAATCATGAATTGTGTCTTTGCCTCATCAGCATCTTGTAGTCTCTCTGTCACATGTCTGAACTCCATTTCTCCTTAATCCAAGCGTACAGGTAATTCTCTTGTGTGGAACAGCTTTTATTTGAGCCTCTAACGGTCGGCAAGCCTGGCAGTACAGAATTAAAGACCACAGAAGAGGAAATATGCTAGCATCCCCAGGTCTGGGCTGCTGTTACGGGATGACTGCCTCTCTATGTTATCCTGGGTGTCTTCCATATGTATGAAAATGTATGAAATATCTTTATAAAATAATTTTAGTAGACCTCATTATCAGTGGGAAACTAAGCCAAATGTATTGCTTCGCCTGCCTGATAGTTCAGGAACGTCAAATCCTGGGGAAATACGCCGTAGAGCTGAATTACTGAGTGGAGGGTCCCTTTCTTCACTCAAACTTTCTAGACCTTTCTGTGCATTTAACTTTGCGCCTGGACCTCCATATATGCTAATCTTGTCCTTTTCTGTCTCATCTCTTGTTCTCCTTGCCCATCTCTTCCTTAGCTCCATCCCTAAATGTCAGTATTGTCCAAGCCACCATTTTGTTCAGTGGACCTCCCCTTAGGAATCAGTTCTTTTTCTAGACTCAGAGTTGTTTACAGTCCCTCTTCACTCTGTTTTCCTCGCCCTTTCATTGCATATCAGTTTGGCGTAACTGGCCAATATTTGGATCTGGCTTAAATCTCCCTTTAGGTACTCCTCACTCCTCTAATCACAGCCTGGGGTCAGACTCTGATTACTTCTCTGAACACTTCTAGCTAGCAAAGATTTCTTAGGAGTCCAGTCTGTATCAAGTACTATGCTGAGCACTGAGGATATAGAAATGATTGTGTTTTCACAGTAAGAGCAACATGTGAACAAGAATCATGTTCTGTTTACTTTAATTCTAACTTTAACAATTTTGGGAATTTGGTCCCATGTTAAACATTGCATAAGGTCCATGGTAATGCATTAAATGTAGACGCTTTTGATTTGTGTAAAGAAACAGGCTCAGAATCTAGTACAGGGTTAGTGACTGCAAGGAGCCATCGCAAGACAGGGAGCAGTAGGTACCGCGTGGGCTGTGCCTCTGGGATACTGCTACTTCTCTGTGTCATCTCAGGGATCTTGCGATTGTTTATGTTATTCTTCTGATTGTGTCATGGTTGTTACTGCAAAGCAACTAAGAGTGCATGACCGGACTGAATATAGACTTTCAACACACATGCAGTTTTTTATATGGCTTATTCCTTAATGGAATGTTGCCTGATGATTTTGGGAAAGGTTCAGCAGATAGGGGCTAGGCTAGCAGTCCATTGCAAGGCAGGTCATAAAAGGCTTCTTAAAAGTCTTCCATTGTAGCCTTGAAGGGAGTGAGTCAGAACGAGGAGGTGCATGAGAGCCCCAAAGTGCTTGCTGATAGCTCTGAGGACTTCTTAGCTCTGGAGTGTGATGGTCGAAGGAGACTGTGGCCAGATGAAGCAGAGCCAAAGGGGCAGAATCAAGGTAGAGGATCGCCAAGGGCTCTGTTAACCAGGGCGCCAGGGCTACCAAAAGTTATAATCAGAGGAGCAGCGTGAGATCCGTGGTTTAGAAAGAAGTTTCTCATGACGGGATTGGAACTTAAGTGAGCCCTGCCCTGTTGTCCATATTCTCTGTGACCAAGGGCAGCTTGGCAAAACAGAACTGATAGGGTAGATCCCAGCTCAGAGCTTAAGGTAACTGCAGATGTCAGAATCCAGTTTTCTACCATGGCTTTGAGGAAGCTTGCTGCTTCCTCCATCTTCAGCCACATGATGCCCTCCTTCATCTCTGAAATGTCTGTACTGAAACGTCAGACAGACTTCCCTGTCTGTTACAATCAGCACCTCCACTGGTCCTTCCTTCCTTTGCTTTAAACAGACACCAGATGCAAACGTTGGATGTGTGGGCACTGGTTTAGTTCCCTGTCCCCCAACTGCAACACAAGAATGAAGGAAAGGTATTGGGTGCTAATTTTACATCTGAGTGGTCAGCATCTGTACAAGGTAGGGAGGTATTCAGTGTTTCTTGAAAGACTGTGGCCTCAGCCGTCTCCCCCCTCCCCCACAGCCCCCCCTCCCCAGTCCCTCCTGTTTTCCTCCTCCTGACCTGGCTTCACATGTCACCTCAGCCTCACCTGAGGTCTGGGTCGGGTCCCATTGTGTGTGAATGATCCCTTTTCAAGCAGTTCTACATTTTATGGAGCTCCCACATAGCTTTTAATATAATAGACTAATATCTTTCTGGACTGTCCAGGATAGGACATAGCTAAATAAATAATGGCAAAGTCTTTAATTAACCACCAGAGAGAGAATTTCAGAATGAGGTAGATACACATTATGAATAAAGATTGAAATTTGGCTGGTTAATTGAGAAATATGGTAATTAGCTGTAACTTGAATTTGATTATATGCATATGACTGGGAGAAAGAAATAGGGGAACAGTCACCAGTTTCTGCTTAATAAAGAATTATACAAACACTTTAAAGAAAGTATTGATTTTTATCTGTCTACCTCTTTACTCTTCTTTTTTACAGAAATAGTATGAATTCTAATATAAGAAAGACATGTTGTTGAAGAAATTCTCTAGAGAAGTGTAAAAAGCATGTTAAAATTCTGAACTTCCGTCATCTTTCTATGAAATATTTCTTTTCCACTTATATTAGTGAAGATATAAGTTATCTAAAAATGCCTTTTCAATCAAATTAGTGCTATTCTGCCCAGTCAATTTCTGCTTCGTATGACACTGTAATTTCATTTGTTGTGTCTAAGTGGCTTTTGTTGTAAGGATCTTATGGAAAGGTGTAGAGATGTGGTCTAAAATTTTATTTGGTTTTCTAATTTTATTTGGTTTCTTTTAAAAGTGTGTGTGTGTGTGTGTGTGTGTGTGTGTGTGTGTGTGTGTGTGTGTGTACATGCAGGCCATGGTATGCCTGTCGATATCAGAATGGCATAGGGAGTCCCTCACCATTTTCCACTGTGTGGATCCTGGAAATTGAACTCTGTTCCGCAGGCCTGGTGGTGGGCACGTTTTCCCACTGAGCCATCTTCCCAGTCCATTGAATATCATCTCTGTTTTAGCATGGGTGTCTGCTGATCTGTCAGTTGACTGAAAGTTATTAATTTTTACTTTGGAATCTCGGCTAAGGCCTTTCTGTAAAACTCAGGTTCATCTCCTACCCGTGTCTATCTTTTTTCTTTGTTTCTTTGTGTTTTGTTTTGTTTTTCTCTAAAAAGGACATCATACTACATTGTCAGGGACTCCTTGGCTTTTTAATTCAGATGCAAACCATAAAGCTAATCATTATATAGATTTAGCCTAGCCGTGAAAGTAGAATATTTGACATGCAACAAACACGAATACCTGAATTCAGATTTATTCCTGTTTCTATTTAAGGACCATATCAGGTAGGTGGTGGGCCATCTTCAGGTTCCAGAAGGGTGGGAGAAGCCGTTTTTGAGGGGATGTGTACAGGAAGCAGCCGGTCCTTCTGTTTCTGGCTTCTCTGCCATCCTCAGAAGCAGCGCTAGGCTGCTTATCTGGAAGACTGCAGAAGTGTGATTTCAATACACTGTAGTAAAGAAATTTCCATTCCTTTGGCAATGACTAACTATTGGTTTTGAGGGGAAAATAAAATCCAGTAGACTTGTTCATTGGCGGTTACTACACTACAGATATGTGAAGTGAGTAAGCATTTTTGTAAGATGTATTTAACATTTCCCCCATGAGTCTGTACGCTTTTAATGACACACCAAAGAACAGTGTCCCCTTCCTCTGCTTTTCTTAATTAAGATAGGAAAGGAAGATTTGGGCATGATCTTTGCAAACTCGAAGTAGATCTTTAAAGTTCATTCTACTAGAGAGGTGTCTAAGGAGACATTTTGCTGTGTTTTCTAAAGGCTTTTATGATTCTTTGTTTTTCAGAGTAAAGCCAGTTCCTCCTGAAGGAATCAAGTCAAATCCTTCGAAGCGACACAGAGACCGACTGAACACCGAGTTGGACCGCCTGGCCAGCCTGCTGCCCTTCCCACAAGATGTTATTAATAAGCTGGACAAACTCTCAGTTCTCAGGCTCAGTGTCAGCTACCTGAGGGCCAAGAGCTTCTTCGACGGTAAGATCGCAGGCTTGACTGTTTTAGTAATAACTTGTAAAATACTAATGTTAAATAGGCTTCCTTTAATGTTGATGACTATAAGAACTATCCACGAGTGAAAATGTTTTATCTTTTGTCATAGAAAATAATTAAGTGACAAAGCTAAATTTGTAACTATTGTTAAATTGACTCCCCTGTCTCATTCATCAGACAAACATAACCATGTGAACGCTCTATGGTATCGTTCTTTGAAAGTCATATATTTAGAAGGTATATCCAGGCGTCATTTTTAGAAAGAAATAATAAAATACTTGAAGACCGTGATTAGGGCTGGGCTATGACTAAGCGGATAAGAGAGTATTCGCTGTACAGATATGCAGGTCTGAGTTTACATCTCCAATACCCACAGAAAAGCTTGGAGTTGCCTCACAGGCCGGTATCCCTAGCACGGTGGACGACAGAGACAGACGAGTTCTGGGGCGTTCCGGCAGCCAGCTTATGCCCAGGGTCGTGAGAATCCATGGTGATGAGGCACACAGTGATAGGGAAGGACATGCGAGTCTTTCTCTGGCCTCTGCGTGTGTGCACACACAGATGTGTACACTTGTATCTTAGACACACACACACACACACACATTCTCTCTTTGACACACACATGAGACAGTAATATATTGTTCCTATATTTTCTGTTTTTATTGATGTCAATTCATCTAGTCTTTCAAAATTATATAGACCTCTGCTGATTTATGTTAGTGTATGTTTGCATCAAGAAAATGTAGTTAAAATGGTTTACAATTCGAAAGAAGACTTAAATATGGCCACCAATAGTGTTGGATTTCATACTCCACAGTGCCATTAACACTGTTTGACTTTAATCGTGCCAGGGAGCTTCCTGTACTTCAGGCGTACCTCCGCTGTGAGGTTGGATGTGGACTAAGTGGCCGAGTGATGTTTGTTACATATTAACCATCCGGTATTTCATCACCACAGCATTTCTAAAATGGCATTCCTATTTGAAATTAGTGTTCTAACGTATTTTTTCTATGTAAAATAATTCCTCAGTTATCTTTTGCATGCATTCTGGGGATTGAAACTAAAGGTGTCGTACTTAAATGGCAAGAGCCCTTCCTTCCCTGAAAAGCCATTCCCAAGGGCCTTATTTTGTTTATAAATCAAACATTGATTTCTTAAGGAAATGCTTTTCAAAGCATCATATTCTTTCACAAACCTTAGTGAATGGATTGATATCGAGATCGAGATCTCAGTGGACGTTACCCCAGCTTCTCTGTTTACTGCAGTGTGCTTATCACTCGATAGGCATCATGTTGAAATGCAGATGTTTTCCCTTCTGCAAACTCAGATGGTGCTGACGAGGCACCAGGTCACCGGGCAGCACCTACTCATATCTGCAGTTGTCTTAGAGGATTGCCAAGAAAGTCACTTCCCTTCAGATTTATGTTTATATGATTTGATGCATTTTGTTTGAGCAACTTTGATTGCATTGTTCTTTGTGTATGTTTTAATAATAATTGTAGTCTGTCAATGTACACTGACCCCTACAGTAGTGATATCATGTGATCTTCAGTGCACACTGAGTCCCGCAGTAGTGATTCCATGAGATCTGCAGTGCACACTGACCCCTACAGTAGTGATTCCATGTGGTCTGCAGTGCACACTGACCCCTACAGTAGTGATTCCATGTGGTCTGCAGTGCA